CGGCGGCTTGTCGCGGTAGGAACGAGGGGCTGCGGGGTATCGTCAGGGTTTGTTGGCTGCTGTGAGCGGGGCGGGGGGTCCTGCTTGTCTTGAGGGGAATGGGGGGTTAGGGGCTGTCGTGAGGGGCTGTCGTGAGGGGAGTGTGGGGCTGTCGTGAGGGGAGTGGGGCTTCTGGATGTCGTGAGGGCAGCGGGGGCTCCTCCTGCCGCCCCTCCCGGGTGTCCCTGTCCGCTCCGGGACGCGCCCCAGCCCGTGTCCCCGGCCGGGGGACATCACCGTCCCCTCGGGCCACCCGAACACCCTCCCCATGGCCGGGAACGGCGGCCACAGCCCCGAGCCAGCGCCAGCCGCATCCCCGCACCTCAGGGACGGCGAAAACCGCCAGGAAAACGGGGTTTTCCCTTGTTTCGGCGTTTTGGCGAGGTGACAGCCCCTCCTGGCTGTCCCTGCCCTCTGCGGCTGGGCACGGGGGACACATTTCCCGGAGCAGCCGTCTTTCCTTAGCTCCGTTTCTGCGTCAGAGGCTTCTCCCGAGATGCCGGCCCTCGGCCAGCATTCCAAAGGGGGTTTTTCCCAGAGGAGACAAGGGTTTGTCATCCCTGGGCGCTGCAGACACAGGAAGGGTTTCAGGGCAGATCTCAGGCTCAGGTAGTGTCCTGGTGTCCGGAGCAGCAGCAGCACATCCATAAACCTGAAATCCAAATAACCAAGGCATCTTTAGGATGTCTGTTCCCCGTGGGACATCCAGGATGTCCCTCTCCTCGTGTCTTTCTCGTTTTATTTCCTTTTCACCACACTTTTTCCTCTTTGTGATCATTTCCCCTTTCACAGCTCACCTTCCACTTCCCACCACAGGCTCTGCAGCCCTTCCCTATTCCACGGTCCATATTATTATTATTATATGGAGCTACTCCACTCAGATCAGCTCTAAACTTCATTTTTTTCATGGAAAACATTGCAGGATCCGTTCCTGGAAATGAGGACAGACCCCAGTGGGCAGAGGCAGCGAGGGTTGGGGCCGCGTTGTTCCCCGAGCTGACGCACGAGGCAAGAGATGACAGTGGGTAGGAAACAAACCCCCTCTTCCCTTTCATCTTCCCAGGAGGGATGGCTGGGTGCTGACAGCCTTGAAAGACAATGTTTAAATCACTGCTTTTTCTAATTTAAGGAGTTTTGGGGGTTTTAATAGGTTCATGTGGCAGGGAAGGGGAGAAGTAATGTTGCTAATTAGCAAGAGCACTTAGCAGAGCTCACGTGGGAAGCTCCCTGGGACTGCAGCTGTGTGGTGGGCGTGGGTGGGCTCATAATGAACTTCTCTATGATTAATTGGATAAGGAGACACTCAACAGCCTCGTCAGGGAGAGGTCGGGAGGGGAATCGTCTCCCCTGAGGGGAAATCAGAGGGTGCCCAGTCCTGTATCAGTGATTTTGCACCGTCAGCACCCAAGACTGGAGGTTTAAAATTGAGTTTTTCATCCCATTTTTCCCAGGATGGCTGCGTAGAGACTGACCCAAACACCTGGAAAGGGGAAATCTCTGGAGGAGAGACACAACCTTCTGGCCCTCCATCCTCTGGAGATCTCTGCTCGTCACAGCGCAGCGGTGAGCTCCAGGCCTTGGGGTTGGCTCCAGGTGTTTGGGAGTGCTAAACCTCAGAGTCAGGGATTTTAGTGGCTAAAGGTGACATTGACTGCTGGGTGTGGGTATGGAGAGCTCATCCAAGCCTCTCCTCTCCCTGCTGTGCTTCCAAGGGGGCCGGAATGTGACACTGGGGATGAGACTACAGAAAATGGGAAGGTTTTCTGGGAAGGAGTTGGGTTTCCTGGATTTTTACTTCCTGCTCAAAGCTGGGGAGCAAAGCTGACACAAGTCCAATCCTGGAACATGAAAAACCATCGTTCACATGCAAAGTGCCTCCCACAAATTCCCCAAAATACCCTTTCAGTGCATCAAACTGTCAAGATTCCTCAGGTTCTGCTGCACGGAGCTCTCTGAGCATGAACACAGCCTTGTTTACCCTGTGGGGAAAATGCTCCCCCTTCTCTCCAGAGCTTTACAAACCACACTGGGCCATGCTGTGCAGTATTTTGACCCAAGCACTGCTTTTCCTTGGCTGTTAGGGATGTGTTTTGGGACAGGCTGGGGGGGGTTTGGAGAGCTGGGGAAAAGAGAGCTGCAATGACAAAATGGAGTGGAACTTCTCTCTGAGCAAGATCTGATGCTGTCAGAGAGGTCCTGGCCTCTCATCCACACCAGGAATGCCTGTGGCAGCTGAATGAATCCCTGGGAGGAAGATCCTCCCTGAGTGTTGCTGGCACCCATAGCTGACAGGAGGAGGCTCCCTCTGCCCACTTACCACTGGAAGGAACAGGAACTGGAAGTGCCTGGTGTTGTGGATCCAAACCTCTCGCTTCTTCCTGACTGGAAAGGCCTGATTTAAGAGGTGGTGAAGTGGAAAAACAACTTCCATGGGCTGGAAACTTTCAGAGACACCGAGCATGGAATCCAGGAGTGTTTCCCCAGCTGTGACCTTCCTGCTCCAGCATCCAGAGCTTTAGAGACTTCCTGCATGAACAATAACTGGATAGTCCCTGTTTCCTTTCTCCTCTCTCCTGCCAATCCCTTGAAACAATCCCTTCAGCACCGGAATCATTGTTGGAAGACAAAGCCAAGTGAAACCCCTTCATTCACCCTAGGGATGCAGCTCAGGAGGAAATCCAGTGTGGCACTTTGCTGACAAGAAAACTGGGGTTGTGCTGTATTTCCAGCAGTTTGCAGCATTCCTTAGGCAGAGCTGTGCTCCAGGCATGGAGAACCCCCTCCAAACACATAATGAAGTGTAAAAATTCCTCGGTATTGTGGCATGAGCAGCTGGAAAAAGCAGGAGCTGGAAGGTTTGGATGAACACTTCCACGTTGCCTTGGCAGGAGCTGTGACACAGAGGAGGGACGATGGCACTTGTGTCTGCAGAGGTGACAAGGCTCCAGCTCGCTGCTTGGACCAGCTGAGGGCAGTAGCTGTGTTCTGAATACTGTCAGGGTGGCTAAAAACCATCCTGGCTGTTCCATCAACTCCTTCTAGCCCTGTCTTGGTGTCGTGGCTGTCCTAGGAGAGGATTTGGGGTTGGATTTAGCACACCTTTTTTTAATTCACCTTTTTGTGCCATTTTTTAACCACGAGGGCAGTCAGGTCGTGTTTTGTGATCTCTCCTCCACGACCCTTTCAGTTTCACCACCCAGCTCACCCCCAATCCCGGGTTTTTTCCCTCCCCACAGCCATGGATTTCCCACAGCACAGCCAGCAGGTGCTGGAGCAGCTGAACCAGCAGCGGCAGCTGGGGCTGCTCTGCGACTGCACCTTCGTGGTGGACGGCATCGACTTCAAGGCGCACAAGGCCGTGCTGGCCGCCTGCAGCGACTACTTCCGCATGCTCTTCGTGGACCAGAAGGACGTGGTGCACCTGGACATCAGCAACGCTGCAGGTAGGCCTCCACTTTTCATCCAGGATCCCTCCCAGCTCCTGAAACAACATCATTCCCTGCCCAGGCTGCGAGGGAGGCTCCTCAGCTGTTTTGAATGTTTCGGAATGGAAGAGTGAGGGCTGAGGGCTGATTTCTAGTTGTGTCACCTCCACTGCAGGCCTGGGCCAGGTTCTGGAGTTCATGTACACAGCTAAGCTGAGCCTGAGCCCTGACAACGTGGAGGATGTGCTGGCCGTGGCAGGTTTCCTGCAGATGCAGGAGATCGTCAGCGCTTGCAACGCACTCAAATCTCTCTCCGTGCCCCAAGAAAACCCCCCTGGGACGAACCAGCAGCCCCCCGAGACCGGTACGTACCCTCCTGGCTTCCCCTCACCCAGGCAAAATCAAGATTTATCCACTTAGGCTCCATGCAGTCCAGAATGTATCCACTCAGGCTCCTTGGCCAGTGGCAAACCCAGTTCCTGGATGGGGTTTGATCCTCTTGGGCAGCACCAGCAGTTAAAAAATGGCTGCTCCTGTGAATTTTGTGGGATTTGGGAATCCTCCTGGCAGCAGCAGCTTCGCCTGTTCCCTCACAGGAGCCGACAAGGCCGATGACAAGACTCTGGTGGTGGCAGAAGCTCAGGGGGAGCCTGACAAAGCCCAAGCGGCGGCTCCCAGCACCGAGGGGAAGGAGGAGAAGCCGGAGGCCACGGCACAGCCCAAGGTGCCTGCGGAGCAGCCGGCTGGCCAGGAAGGTAAAGCACCGAGGGGTGACACCCTGGGTCCTGCTGTCACCCCCAGAGCTGTCCTGACACTCCGGTGCTCGCAGGTGCTGCCATCCAGGAGGGTCCCAAAGCCGACATTGCTGGGCTCCCGCAGCCCTTGGAGAGCACGGGGGGCAGCGGCAGCCCCGGCGCCACCGACACCGCCGGGACAGGAGGTGTGTGGGGCAGCGGGGCTGGGACAGAGCTGGGCACAGCTTGAGCCAGGCTTTTCTGTGGAATTCATTGTGTGAGCGTGAGCTTTTGTGGGGCACGGATCCTCTGGGAACAGTTTTCATGGAGCACAGTGAGGAGAGTTGGGAAGTTCTGCTCTGCCTGCACAGGCTTTGGGAATTTAGGGCTAATCACCTGCAAATTCAAAGTGATTCCAGGCAAAGGTGATGATGGTTGAGCTTCCAGCTTAGATGTTTCTGTGGTTTCCCTGGGGAGGGGGGGGTGCCTAATCCGGGTTAGGAAATGCCAGGAGGGTTTTGTGCCTCTGCTGCTGCCCCCAAATTTGAGCATCCCCATTTTGTACCATCCTGCAGAGATGAAGCCGGAGAGGAGGGAGGAAGAGGGGGAGATGATAGTGGAGGAGGAAGATGAGGGTAAAATCCCCGAAGAGGAGCCTGCCCAGCTGGAGAACGGGGAGAACGCTGAGGATAACGAGTCGGGAAGCACGGACTCCGGGCAGGAGAACTCGGGGGAGCCGCGCCTGCTGCGCTCCGGCACCTACAGCGACCGCACCGAGTCCAAGGCCTACGGCTCCGTCACACACAAGTGCGAGGTGAGGCCAGCTGGGCTCCTGGGCAGCACCTGCCGGTGCCACCGGGTGCCTCGGGGACAGCGGGGTGACAGTGCTGCCCCTCCATTCCTAGGACTGCGGGAAGGAGTTCACCCACACCGGGAACTTCAAGCGGCACATCCGGATCCACACCGGAGAGAAGCCCTTCTCGTGCAGGGAGTGCAACAAGGCCTTCTCTGACCCTGCTGCCTGCAAGGCCCACGAGAAGACACACAGGTAGGGGGGGAGCCAGGGAAAGATGCCTGGAAAATGTGGGGTTTGCTGGGAATGGTCCCATCTTCTGGAAATCTGCCGGTGTGTTGGGGTGTCCGGGAGGAGATTTGTCTTTCTGCCTCTGTCATAGTCACAGAATAATCCAGGGTTGGAAGGGATCCACAGGGATCGAGTCCAGCTGCTGGCCCTGCACAGAATCCCATGCTGTGTCTGAGCATTGTCCAAATCGTTCTTCCCTTTCGTGTTGTTTTGTGGAGTCCCCATCCCTGCACGTGTTGAGGGTTGGACGGGGCTTGGAGCAACCTGCTCTAGTAGCAGGTGGGGTTTGGTGGAATCAGAGGGGCTTGGAGGTGCCTCCCAAGCCATCCCATGATTTCTGTGGGGGCGCTCAGAGCAGGGCAGCAGGACCCCGCTGCTGGCTGTGACGTTCCCTCCCCACCGCAGCCCGCTGAAGCCGTACGGCTGCGAGGAGTGCGGGAAGAGCTACCGGCTCATCAGCCTGCTGAACCTGCACAAGAAGCGGCACACGGGCGAGGCCCGCTACCGCTGCGAGGACTGCGGCAAGCTCTTCACCACCTCGGGCAACCTGAAGCGGCACCAGCTGGTGCACAGCGGGGAGAAGCCCTACCAGTGCGACTACTGCGGGCGCTCCTTCTCCGACCCCACGTCCAAGATGCGCCACCTGGAGACGCACGACACCGACAAGGAGCACAAGTGTCCCCACTGCGACAAGAAGTTCAACCAGGTGCGCTGGGCAGCGGGGAAACTGAGGCCTGTGTGCTCCTGGAAGGGAGATCTGTCCCTGGGATGCAGTTTGGGTGTCTTGGAGCTCGGAAGGGGTGGTTTGTCCATAGGGTGAAGCTTGGAGGTCCCAGAGGCCGCTCCAGAAGGGATCCACGGGGATTTGGGTTGCTCTGAAGGAACACAAGGTGGTTTGGGGCTCTCTCCATCCTGTTCTCCATCCCCAGGTGGGGAATTTGAAGGCTCACCTGAAGATCCACATCGCAGATGGGCCCCTGAAGTGCCGGGAGTGTGGGAAGCAGTTCACCACGTCAGGTAAGACAGGGGAGCGGGGCTGGGGGGCTGAATGACAGGGCTTGGATGCTCTGGGGAGAGCAGGGAGTATTCTGGGGCGGGATCAGAGCCAGAGGAAGGATTTCATCCCGGCTTTACAGTGCCACAGTTGTGCTGCGTGAATTCCTGGTTTTCCCCATGGAGTCACACCCTGGAGTGGAGCTCCTCATCCAAATGCTGGAGATGGGGATGTCTCCTCCCATCTTCTCCCAACCTCCTGCAGAGCCAGAGGGTTGGAATGATCCCGGTGGAGTCTTTTGATCCCCTCAAACTCTTGATCCCGGGTGCTTGTCCCGGCTGTCTCCAGCTCCACATAACTGCCTGATCCCAGGCAAGGTGCAGCCAACTTCCCTTGATCCCTGTGCAGTCCTTGCTCCCTGAACAGCAGCAGCCTTTCCCCAGGGAGCTCCTGGGGCTCTGCCAAGGAGGAGAAGGGGGAGGAGGGTGCGGTGTCCTTCAGCCTGCCCTGCTCCCAGGTAACCTGAAGCGGCACCTGCGGATCCACAGCGGGGAGAAGCCGTACGTGTGCGTGCACTGCCAGCGCCAGTTCGCCGACCCGGGCGCGCTCCAGCGCCACGTCCGCATCCACACCGGTACGGACACGCTCCTGCTTCCCGAGGGGCCCTGCTTCCCTCAGCCTCCCCTCCCACCTTCTCCTGCGTCTCCCCAGGAGAGAAGCCGTGCCAGTGCTTGATCTGCGGGAAAGCCTTCACCCAGGCCAGCTCCCTCATCGCCCACGTGCGCCAGCACACCGGGGAGAAGCCCTACGTGTGCGAGCGCTGCGGGAAGAGGTGAGGATTCCCCTTGGGAATAGCGGGAGGGTGGGTGGCGTTGGGATACCGGGGGGCACCTCCACTCGCCCTCCGCAGCCGGGTGCCGTTCCTGGAGGGTGAATCCTCGGGGTGTGGTGACCCTGGCGTCCTTCCCAAAGGTTTGTCCAGTCGAGCCAGCTGGCCAACCACATCCGTCACCACGACAACATCCGGCCCCACAAATGCACCGTCTGCAACAAAGCCTTCGTCAACGTGGGCGACCTGTCCAAGCACATCATCATCCACACGGGTGGGTACCCCCCAGAGCCCCTCACCATCCCCGGCTGTCCCCCCCTCACCCACGGCCCCTTCTCTGTGCTCTGCCCAGGGGAGAAGCCGTTCCTGTGTGACAAGTGCGGGCGCGGCTTCAACCGCGTGGACAACCTGCGCTCCCACGTGAAGACTGTGCACCAGGGCAAGGCCGGCATCAAAATCCTGGAGCCCGAGGAAGGCGACGAGGTCAACATCGTCACGGTGGCCTCCGATGACATGGTGACATTGGCCACCGAGGCGCTGGCTGCCACCGCTGTCACGCAGCTCACAGGTAACGGCATTCCCAAATGGAGTTCACCCCTGGGGGCAGCTTGGGAGCCATCCAAAAGGCAGAGTTAGCAGTGGGGTGTAGCTGGGAGGTCCTGGAGTTGTCCTGAAATGGGAATTTATCCATAGGGAGCAGCTGGTTCATCCCAGAGTTGTCCCCAGAGGGAGATTCATTTATGGGGGTTCAGCTTAGGGGACTCAGGAGTCATCCCAAAAGGGAAATGTACCCATAGGAATGCAGCTTGGGGGTCCTGGAAAGGAGGTTCAGCCATGGGCAACAGCTTGGAGGTCCCAGGTGCCATCCCAAAAGGGAGATTTTATCCCTGGAGAGGAGATTGGATGTTCCATGAGCCACCCCAAAAGGAAAATATATCTGAATATAGCTGAAGGGGCCCAGAACTGTCCTGAAAGTGAGGTTAATTTATGGGGGTGCAACTTAGAGGTCCCAGGAGCCACCCTAGAAGGGAAGCTTATCCATGGGATGTCTCCCCAATGTCCCTGTCTCCCCCAATGTCCCTGTCCCCCCGCAATGTCCCTGTCCCCTGGTGTCCCCGTCCCCCCCAATGTCCCCATCCCCACCAATGTCCCTGTCCCCCCAATGTCCCCGTCTCCCCAAATGTCCCTGTCCCCTGGTGTCCCCATCCCCCCCAATGTCCCCATCCTCCCCAATGTCCCTGTCCCCCCCAATGTCCCTGTACCCCCAATGTCCCTGTCCCCACCAATGTCCCTGTCCCCCCCAATGTCCCTG